CCGCTCCGTCGCCGCCTGAAGCTCGACGCGAGGGTCCATGCGGTGGGTGCTGACGGAGCCTCCCGCCGCCCCAATCACGGATGCGGCGACGGACCGCTCGAGAGAGAGAGCGGAGCTCTGCATTATGTAAGACAAAGAAAAATCAGAAGAACATTGGCAAGAAGGAAGAAAGAGTGCGCGAGGGAGTCGGCACTTACGCGGAAACCATCTGTGGCTCCTTCACCACTTTGCAGAAGCGGGTTGCCTTCGCGCCCGCCTCGTCCTGCTTGGTCGCCGCGACCGAGCCCTTGGGCTTCTTCGGCCGGCTGCCCAACATGGATGGCGCGGCCCGGCCTTTCTGCGCACCGCCTCGGGCAGCCGGCGCAGCAGACGAGCTCGCGCCTTGCTGGTCGGACGTCGGCTAACAGCGTGGGACGACTTCTCCCTCATCGTCATCCGGCCAGTCCTCGACGCCGGCCCCGAGCCCTGAGCCGCCTGCATCATCGCCTCCTCCCACGACATCGCCATCCAAAGCGGCCGCTCCCAAGTCGGGGTTGTCCACGTCGCTCTCCTCCCGGTTAGCAAGAAATTGACGCTCCAGCCCCGTGGCACCGGCTGCTGGCTGGAGGAGGGGGCTCTGTTCCATAACCGATTGGTCAAGCCGGCCAAGGAGAGCTCGGCAACAGAAGAAAAAAGAAGAAAAGAAAACTTACCATAGGCGGAGGATCGACGCGTGAGTACGGCTCCTTGCCGAACCGCCACTCCTCCGACAGCTTGCAGTTTGAAAGGTAGTTCACCATGTGAGCTACCTCCGTGTGAGGCATCTCCTTGGTGCACATCCGGCTTGGGTCTTGATGCCCGCTCATCTGGCATATCATGTGAGGGCGGCCCTGGAGTGGGAGCACCCAGCGCGCCATGAATGCAGTAAACAAGTCGGGCCCGGTCAGGCCCTCCGACTTCACCATCACCCGGAGCCGCGAGACGACGGCGGCTCCGGAGGCCGACAACGACCTGGCCCGATATGACCAGTTAGGCCGCTTCCCAGTCAGGGGCCGGGTACGTAAGCCGACAGATTGACCCGGTCGCCCTCCGAGAAGATGCTCTTCACGTAGAAGTATGACTGCTGCCACATCTTCACCGACTGGATCAGCGTGATGGGAGGAAACGAGTTCTCAGCAGCCGGCCTCTGCACCGCGACGAAGACGCCGCATTGCGCCGCCGCGCTCTTGACAACGGTGCCGAGCTTCGAGTAGAAGAACTCGCCCCAAAGCTCAATGGTGGGGAGGACGCCGAGATAGCCTTTGCACAGGGTGATGAAGGCGGACAACAGCACCACCGTGTTCGGAGTGAGGTGGTGTGGCTGGAGGTTGTAGAAGTCAAGAAAGGCCCGGAAGAAGCCACTCGCTGGCAGGCCAAGGCCGCGCAGGCAATGCGACCTGAAGATGACGCGCTCGCCCTCTTCCGGCGTCGGCGAGATCTCCCGCTCTGGTGCAAGGCGGACCCTCACGTAGTCCTCGCCGGGCAACCGCCGCGTCTTGCGAAGAAAATTAATATGGTCTTCGTGGATGTTGGAGCCGTCCCAGGCTCCGGCGCGCGCCATGAAGACGAGAAGCTGACGGAGAGAGTGCAACAATGGCGAGAACGCGACCCCATGGCGACGAGCTAGGGCGCAGCAAGGTGGCCAGTGGCGCGGCGGCGAACAAAAACGGCGAGGGAAAAGAAGAAGAAGAGGAAGATGGTGGGGTAGGGGATGGGCGCGCGTGCGTCTGCCGCTCCCCCTCCTCCCCCTATTTATAGCCGCGGAGCGACGAAGCCGAGGAGGCGGGAAGTGGGGGTCGTGGGATTAACTGCACCCACTCCCCCACGACCCGCGATTACTGCACCTTAACAGCGTGCGGTAACTGCCGCTGGAATGCCAACCGTTCGCCTTGGCCACAGAGGATCCGTGCGTGGGCCGAGGCACGGTAGTGGCTGGCCCCAGCTTGTAGCGACGTCCCATCACGCGCGTGGGCTGGCAGGCTGGTCCAGCCGATGGGTGCCGCGTGGCGCACGAACCGCGGGCGGCCGACCCGACGCCCGACGCGCGCGCCATCTGGTTCCCGCCTTCAGACTCCAAAACTTTTCAGACGGTGCGACTGATTGTGGCCGACTCCTAGCTGTCGGCTCTTCAAGATAGGAAGCTGCTTGGGCTTCTCGTCCCCCCTTCACCCGCGAAGCCCGACCAGCTTCGAGGACTACTGTCGGAGTAAATGACCACGGGTAGCCTAACCGGCTCCCCCTGAATCTTTAAAAATATTGGGCCGACTGAGCCCTCAAACATCCAAGATGCAGTGCCGCCTTCTCTTGGCCGGCTGACCCATCGGTCGGCTACTGGAAGGCGGCGAGGCTCTAAGAGCTCTCTCGAAGAGGGCCGACTCCTAGCAGGCGGCCTGACCCATACCCTTGAAGTTTGCACCCACATAACAACGATAAGACGGGGCGTGGCTACAGTGAAGCCTGCCACCCCCGAATCCTGGGGCAAGCGTGGCCACAGTGCGCCGTACGGGGTGGCCACTCGCCGTCCGGCGCGACACTGTTTGCACGTTGACCATGACGTCGCCCACGGCAGGTTGTCAGTACGGCCCGCAGGCGGCGGGCCCCTCCTATCAGAGAGATACCAGAGGATGGCTGAACTTGACCAGTCGGCCTGGAGGGAGGCCGGCACCCAGCAGTCGGCCTGCCCCGCCCTGGAAGTTTGTGCACCATTAAGCAGATAAGATGGGGTGAGGCTACAGTGAATGCCCGCCAGGCGGTGGCACTGTAGCCATGCTTATCCTGACAAAGCCATCGTCACCGGGAGTAAGGCTACAGTAACCAGCAGCCGACAAGACCCCCGGCGGTGGGCCCAGCCTGTCGGCCAAGAGGCCGGCAGCCAGCGGGACCCACTAGTCGGTGGGCCCCAGTGGTCGGCGGAGAAGCCGGCGACTACAGACACTGACGACCTGGACCCACATCCAGCCAGATTACCATTGTACCCCTAGGGGGTAGGCCTATATAAACCCCCTAGGGCACCCATGCAAAGGGTTGATCTCTTAGAGTTTTACACACCACATAAAGAGAAGAGGAGAGCTAGCATTGCCCTTCTTCTTCCTCTAGCTAAACAGCTCAAGGAGTATCTTGTAGCTGCTTGTTGATCTAGTGATCATGCGGAGACCCCGCAGATCAGGACTAGGGGTGTTATCTCCTAGGAGAGCCCCGAACCTGGGTAAGATTCGCCGGCGTGCATGTCTTCGCCTTATCCCGTTTTCAGGCACCGATGATGTCTTACTGGCTCCCACAATGATTAGCCACCCCGTTGGCATATGTCGCACCTAGCACCCGACACAACCCCACCGCCACCCCAATGTACCGTCCATCACTGTTCATGTATTGTTACCTTGTTGAAAGTGCTGCTGTTCTCATTGTCAACATTGGTGGTAGGAGTTGATGTTTTGTAGAACGTCTCCGGCAGCAGCTCTAGAGCCACAGGGCAAAGAGTAAGCATCTAATTGAAGTTTTACAACTTGCATAGATGGCCCAACCAATGTCAATGATTCTTTTATCTGGGATAACTTGCTGGGAATTCACTAGAGCCCCTGAAGCCACTTGATCCTTATTGAGGTCTATCATTCGAAAATGCTCAATGGAGCTCAGCCTCCATGGAGGCCGAATTTGAAATGATAAAATTCAAATTTGCATGTTTTAGAAAAATAAATGCGCATATACTTAGAGACATAATGCACAAGTGTGTAAATTTTCAGAACTAAATACGTTAAAATGAGTGCTACACAAAAAAAAATCTGAGGCTTTTTAGTAGATGCACTATTCACCCTCAAAGTCCATGAGTTTTTTCTTGCACATGCCACATTTCAAGGTATTTCATCCTGAAATTTTACACACAGACAATCACATCATTTTTCACTTATAGATTTTTTTAAAGATTTTTTGAAACTATGAAATTTCGGCCTCTGTGGAGGCGGAGCTTCAAAACGCCCATCCCTGCTTGCATTGTCATCGTTATCCAAATAGAAAGGATTCCTGTATTGGCAATGAAGTTCGTGTTGTTCAAACAGTTGTTGTTCGCCTCACCTTGTCCCTTGTGGAATTTTCTTTTTCATATTGGTTGTGTACATTCTAGTCTTGTAGGTATACTTGATGTGTTTGCATCCAGAAATCACCAGTCAACAAAGAGCGTTAATCTCTGAATCAAAGCACTCATGTTAACCATCAGAGCATTTCTCAATCTCTGATTCAGAAGATTTTTCAGTTTAGCTACATATTAATCGACTGATTTTCGACTTCGGGGTCAGTCGATTCTTGAATGGAGGAAGGAGAAGGAAGAAGAAGGGAGGACCTCTCCGAAGAGAAGGAAGGAGCTCGCCGTCATCACCCTAGTATCCATCTTAGGGTTCAGGGGTGGGGGCGGTGGTGGACGGCGATGGTGGGGGGCGGTGGCGCACTTCGCCGGAGAAAAAAATCCATCACGGGAGGGGCTAGAGCGATGGCCGGGGGCGGCGGCTAGACTGGCGGTGGGGGGCAGTTTCGGGGAGGGCGGGACGGCAAGGCGGTCGCGGGAGCACCGCCGGCACGTTTGGTGGTGTGGGAGGGGAGGAAGAAGGTTCAGACACCACACAATCATCATCCAACGCTTCACAAATCGACTGACCCTAACTGAAAAAGTCAGTCGACTAATGTGGTGCCTCTCCCAAGATTTTTCTGCGGCTAGAAACTCAAGTTCTGTATGACCGTGACCATTTCTTAACTTGCATGATGTTGTAGGGCTACCGCTTTTGTAAAATTTGTTTGTTAATTTTGCTAGCGCTTTCATGGGTAATGCGTTACTGCATTACTTGTCATATCGAACTGGTTTTAGCCTTTTGCGCGTCATTGATTCACTGAAAAATAAATTGGTTGTAATGTTCTAAAGAAATCACTGGCAACAGTGCACCATTGCTAAACAATTTTAATCCAGCTTCTTCTATTTCTTCAGAAACCTGTCTCCTTCAAGTGGAAGCAGAGAGCACGCTCTTGACAAACTCCCGGGGCCGGCAGACAGTCGCCAACGGCGTCGCCATTGGCATTGTCAGCCCGCCACCTTCGGCCATGTCGATGGCGTCGCCTTCAGCAACATCCCACTCAAAGCACTGCACGAGTGCTGCCACAGTCAAGCTGACAAGGCGCATCGCCAGCGCCTCCCCGGGGCATCGCCTCCGGCCAAGCCCGAACGGCAGCATGGGCGTGGTGACCGCGTCTCTGTCCAAGAACCGCTCCGGCCTGAACTCCTCTGGCGTATCCCAGATTTTGACGTCCCGGTGGATCGCCCATGCGTTCACGAGGATCATCGTGCCGCGCTGGACATGAAAGCCACCCACCGTGAAGTCCTCCATGGCCTCGTGCGCAGGGATGATTGGGCCGACGGGGCAGAGCCGAAGAGTCTCCTTGATAACGCACTGCAGGTAAGGTAGGTTGGTGATGTCTGACTCCTCAACCAGTCGGCCCATGCCGACGTTGGCGTCTATCTCAGCCCTCGCCTTCCGCATCACCTCTGGGTGCTTCAGAAGCAGCGCCATCGCCCACTCGGTGGTCAGTGCCGATGTGTCCGTGCCGGCGGTGAGCAGTACCTGAATGTCAGCATAGCATAGCAACCATGTTGTCACAGTCTCACTCTCACAAATCGCGAAAATGGCACACATCGTGGTGCTGAAGGCAGTACATGCTAATGCCAGTACTCACCAAGACGATGCCTTTGACGACGGTGTCAGTGTAATACCCAGGATCAGCTGCTTGGTGCTCCATGAGTACGTCGATTACGCCCTTCTTCTCCACGTCTCGGGCATCGGCATTGTGCGTTCGCCGATGGCCATCGATGAGGGCACCGACGAACGCGTCACGCCTTGTCTGCAGGCTTACAAGCGCCGCCTCGACGCCGCGGAGACGGTCGACCCACCGCAGCGCCGGGAAGAAGTCCCCGATGCTGGGCGCGCCGCTCACCGCAAACGTCTCCTCGACGATCTCCTGAATCCTGCGCACGTCGCCGGCAAGCCGGCGCGCGGTGAGCGCGCGCAGCATCACGTTAAGCACCAGCTCGAAGAGCCTGGGCCGGAGGGTAACAATCCCACCCCCGGCGCTAGCGCTGGCGTCGTGGAGTAGGCTCTGGACGAGGGACGCGACCTCGGCGCGGCGGTCACCGGCGAGCGCGGCGAGGCGGGAGGTCGAGAAGAGCTCGACGGCGAGGAACCGGCGCAGGCCGCGCCAGTGGCCCCCGTGGGAGGCCCACACGACGGTGGTGCGCCCGTACCCTAGGTGCTCCGCGGCGAGCATCCGCGGCCGGCCCGCCAGCGCGGCGTCGTGCGCCGTGAAGCACTCCTCGGCCGCCGCGTAGGTGGACACGACCAGCGCCCGGCGCGCGCCCAGCCGCAGCGACAGAAGCGGCGCCGCCCCGGCGAGCGCGGCCAGCGAGCGGTGCAGCGGCTTCTTGAGCAGGTGCAGGTGACCGAGCAGCGGGAGCGACGGCGGGCTCGGCGCGCTGCTGCTCCCATCCCCCCACCGTCGCCTCAGCTGAAAAAAGACGGCGACGACACCGGCGACGAGGAGGAGTAGGAGCAGGAAGACGCCGCCGCTGGCCATTCCCTCCGTGGTGGCGGCCATGGCACGTAGTAGTGCTAGGCAGTCAGAGACACAGCGAGTGTTATGGTAGAGATTTGTAGTAGTAGCCCTGAAGTGGTCAAGTGGAGGATCACTGGCACGTAAGTTCGTACGTATGTATGGGGATTGGGAAGGATCCCATGCCTGCGGGAAGGGAATCGTCTGCACATGCGTGGACAAACCAGCTGCTGGTTTACTTTCATGGCTCGGTAAAGCGCCACGGTTACTAGTCTTATTGGATAGTTCTTTTTTTTTTCTTTTAAAAAAACTAGTCTGATTGGCTGTAGAATCACTTTTCTTCTCTTTGGAGATGCCGCAGAGCAAAACGTCTTGGACTCATCTCCTTTTGAGGGGTACTCATCTGATTGGATTGGCCGCTAGAGTTAACCTCCGTCGGGCTAACTAGCTAGGCGGAGCTGACTGTCTTTGCGGCATCGTATATCTGGTGGCAACGGTGCTAGTTTGTGAAGGATGAGACTCTCTAATCGCCTGATCCTGATCGTACCAGTACTGGACACAAACTTTATAAGAGCAACGACTCCCAATCAACCATTTCGAAAGCGTGATCACGTGTGGAAGAGACCGCCTCAGGGTTTAGTTAAGATCAACGTGGACGCCGCATTTCATCATGGCACGCAATCGGGTGCCACACGAGCTGTCGCGCGTGATGATAAGGGGAATTTTCTGGCTGCAGCTAATTGGTTTTTATCACATGTTAACAATGTCGATTGTGCAGAACTAAGTGATATTCGTAACGGGCTCTATCTACCAACAAATGTTGGAGGTAAGAGTGATTGTTGAATCAGATAATACATTTGCGGTACAGACCTTGAACCAGCATGAGGACTACTTCGCCCTTGAAGTTGTGATGGTAAGGGAATGCCATTACCTTGCTAATGAGTCTGGGAAAGTTTCGTACGATCGTTGCTTCCGTGAAGCAGATGAGATAGCAGATTATTTAGCAACGCTTTGCTTTAGTTCTAGAGCTTCTTCACTTTGGGATATCAACCCTCTTGACTCTATTTCTCATATGCTTGCAAATGACCTATCTATTATTTGGGAAATAAAGTTGTATTATTGTCAAATGAAAAAAAAAAACTAGCTAGGGGCCATCTCAAAGAGCAAAAAACTAGCTACGGGCCAATCCTATATGACGCCCGCGTGCGTCATATAGGCGTGGCTTTGCTGACACGAACACCAGCATGGGCCGGTCCATTCGATGGTCACGCATTGTGTTCTGGCTTCGTTTGTTCGTTTCACTTTTTTGTGTATGTGTTTTTAGTTTTAGTTTTCTGTCTTGGTTTTTTTCTTTGCTTTTCCTATTTTCCTTTTATTTTTACATATTTGTATTTCTGTTTTATTATTTTAGGTTTTCTTTATTTTATAGTTACACCGTAAGTGAATTTTTTATTCAAATGCATGCTGACTTTTTTTAATATATGTTGAACATTTTTAAAAATACTCACTGAACATTTTTTGATATACAATGAAATTTTTTTATATAAATTTAATATTCTTCATATATAATGATCTTTTTAATTATATGAAGCACATTTTTGTTTATAGACACAGAATATTTTTAATATGGGTGCTAGTTTTTTTTCAGTGATTTCTTTATATATGAAAAATACTGAACAAATTTCTTTTTTTATTTTGTTAGTAGGTATGTAAATATCTAGCTACTAAAAACAACAACCTTTTTTGTAAAAAAATGAAGGAAAACTTATAAAAAAACTAATCACGGGGCAGATTGGAAACCCCAATTGTTCTGGCTTCAGCGAAGCCACATGTATCCGACGCACGTGGGTTGCGACAAGGAGCTCTCCTAACTAGGCTAGGTTGTTGCTTCCTATTCAAGGTTTATAGCGCCACTTCTAGTTATATCTGTGGAGGGCACACACCCCTTCGATTATATTGCGCCAACCCATATGGCACATCTTTGCGGGGAGCTCTCCCAGTTATGGGAAGCTTCCCATCCCACCCCTCAAAAAAAGTTATGTGAAGCTTCCCAACCAGGTTTTTGGGAAGCTTCTAGCGTGGTTTTCTTCTTCTTATTTCTGAGTTTTCTGGACCTAGTTTTGCTCAGATTTTTTATTTTTTGTTAAATTTTTTAAATTCTTAATTTTTTATTATAATTTGTGAACCCTTTGAAAAATTTGTGAACATTTTTAAAATGTGTGAAATTTCTTTAAATTCATGAGCCTTTACGGAAACCATGAACTAATTTTTAATCCACATTTGTTTTTCAAAATATGCAAACTTTTCTCAAATTCACAAACTTTGTTTTTCAAAGGGATTCAAATCCGCATTTCTTTTCAAAATACTGATTTTTTTCAATTTTTTTGAACTTTCTTAAAATTTAGGAAAATTTTCCAAGTCCATGATTTTGATTAAATTTTGTGTTTTTAACGAATTTTTCTAGGTTTGTTTTTCTTAAAAGTTAATCGTTGACTGGTTATCGAGCGAGTGACCGAAGGAGACCTATGACCGAGCAACCTGTTTCTGTTACCTTGTTGGGCCAGGCCCAGGCGAGAGAGTGCGTTACGCCAGGTGGAGAATCGGTGTTAACAGCGCCGTATATGAGCTCTCGGCTAGGTTGGTGCAACAAGAATTACCG